ATGAAATTCGACGGTTACATAATTCATGATCGAACGGGAAACGGTCGATTTCGAAAAATTTCCTCGTACAAACGGACGAGGCAACGTGACTCGAGCGATCCGAGCAAATAATTCCTCATTAATACGGCATCCATTTATTTCAGACAGTATCAGCGTGCAACAGTGCAACCTTCTCTTCATCGAAATCTCATAACGACTCCATACTTTTATCACGAGTAATTATTCAGGCTAACACGATACGTATAAATAGTACGAGTACGTTGGATAAAAATGTGACTTATTATTGCTCGAGGCTCGTTCGAATTAAAAAAATGTTCGATTCGCGAACTGTGGCTGATTTATTTAAAAATTCCCGACGGGAATTACGCTCGATAATCTTAACACGGGCAGCCTGTATCGCGCGGCGTTGTTTCTTGGCCCGATAGCGTTGTGTGCGACGCCGTTTTTCGTAATTGACGATCTCGCCGGCAGGCGTCGCGCCGCTCGAGTCCCCTTTCGAAAATAACACACGGCCGGTTGACGTCATGTTGTCATGACTGCCGACTGCCGGCATCAACGTCGCCTCGACGTCGTTCTCGCGGGCGCTGAGCGGCGCAGAAAATTCGCACCGATACGACTCGTTTGCATTTACGCGCCACACAGTTGCAAATTCGACGGGAACCCGAGGTTCCGTGAGGTTTTTGTGACGCGTCATGCAACGATCGTTACCAATATGTCGATACTTTTGGAAGAAAGCACCGAGGTAATATCGCCGGAGTTTTATTTCACGCCACGACTTCACTCGTATCGTTATCTCTTTCGTTCTTTTTTCGCGTTCGAACTTTGAATGCGTCGAATCTTCGTATTCTGTTTTTTTTTTTCTCCGCGCGACTTCGGAACTCTGACCGAGTTGTTTCTATTCTTACAGTTGGTATGACCGAGTTATCGAACTAACCTCCAAGTAAACTAGCATTTTCGAACGTTTTATTTCGTTTCAACTTGCAGAATTATCGCGAGCATTGAAAATTCTCGGATATTCGAGCCGAAAAGTCTTTTTCATCGAATATATTCGATCTTAGAATACGAGCGTTTCGATGTGTTCGCGCATGCTTAGCGTACACGCATATAGCTTAGGAATGTACGACGCCATACAGTCGCTGGTTTTATCTACGGGGCTCCAACTGGCTCGAGCGCGCGGCTACGTGTGTGTTCGTTCTCCTGGCTGGCTAGATAGCTTTGACTCGTGTAGCAAACATTACCTCATCGTCAGGCATAGCCGGATCCACCGCAAACCTTCTCTACTTTTGATTCTTTTCTCGCGTCCTCCGGTGTGCCTCGCTACTGCTCGTCGCGGGTCAAACGAAATTGAACTTTGTGCAAAATAAATTTTTACCGTTCGCGATTGGAGAAATATTTATTTTCAGCAATGATAAAAATCGACCGAAATAAATATTTTCCGAATTCTTTTCTAAATACTCGATTCCCCCTATATTTTGAGTTTCTTTCGCGCTAGATAAAATTTTTAGCTGCTTTTACAAAGGATGACGCAAAAGTTGGCTTTGTTAATCTTCTCGTGTGTATAGTGCAGCTCGTCCAGATAGGCTTCACGCGGTGAACATTATCTTATTGCGGGCGCAGTCGTCATGAATCTTTTCTAGTTCTAGTACTTCTCTCACGTTCATTCCATTGACCTACATTCCTGACGATAAACCAGGAATTGGGGCAAATTTGTTTATAGAAATTCTACCATGAAATTGTTCGAGGCGATAATGCATTCGTTGTGATGTTTCTTTCTGGTTCTAATTTCCGTGTTATTCGTATATGTTAACGACATATTAAATTGCAGTGTAATGTTGTATCGATATTATATTTAATATTATCTAAATTTTTGCAAATAGTTCTTTTTTTGTATAATCAACTCATCGTGACTCTTATAATTTATATTATCGTGCAGTATCGGGCATGCTTTTTCCTTATTCGTATTGCAGCGAAGCCTCTGGCGAATTGATTTAAGAATTCGCCACCAGATGGCTGTATCGATAAAAGCAAATACAGAGTCTCATACTCAGTACCATTAATTACATAAAACAGTGACACTATATAATTATATGGTTTTATATTTATATAAAAATACTCGTTAAAAAGTTTCCCGTCGTCACCGGCAAAAACATGGAAAAAGTAACTGCAAATCGAAACGGTGGAAAGTTTATAGTTTTTTCATCGTTAAAAGTAACGAGATATAGGAAACTATCAGATTCTTTGTTTGCAAAGTAAAAAGGATTTTTCAAATTAAATTATTAACAATTAAAACAATTTATTCTCAAGTTGAAATGTTAAAGAAAATAAATTTTAATAGGCTTCATAAATTTTAAGGAAGTTACGAACGTAACTACTAGGACAACTTTTAAGTTGTGTAGTTTACAATTGACTAAACTGAAAGTTTTGGTCTTGTAAACAATTGTAGGATTTTGGACTGGCAGTCAACGTGTTAATGAATCGAATAGTTGCTGTTCCGGATACCAACGTTAATACTAATATTGGGGGGCGAAAAGATGTTTAAGAAAGACCGCGCTGAAAAGGATTAGAAACGTCGCGATCTCGACCATTCTCGAGCGATGAAGCGTACACGGAGCTGCGCATTTTACAACCGAGAACCATTTCGATCGTTGCAATTGAGTTACTTCAAACAGGCAGCGGGAAAAGTCCGGGGAGCGTAAAAAGAACGAAAGCAACTCTTCCTCGGGTGCTCTCCTTTGAATCAGCGCCGGGGATCCTAAGTAAGGCGGGGGTTCAAAAGATTCTTGGACTGGAAGAGCGCGAGCCGTGCAAACCGCAACCCCTGAAAAATTTCACGGGAGAAACAGAGTGTGGGACGGGGCGCGCTTCTTGACTTTGATTTATGGGCAGTTAAGAGCCGTGCATTTCTGCCACACACAGCTAATCCGTTACGCGGTAACCCTCCCCCCCCCGCAGCAACGACCCGGTGGTCGTCTCGATTCAACAAGTGCCCGGGACCATGTTTCGCAAACATCATTCGCGAGGACGGGTCGGTGAATTCTCGGCCGCGTTAACTTGTTGTCTTAGTCCCGCGCGTCTTGGTAACACAGAGCTGCAATTATTTTCTTCAACGTTGCTCTTAGGGAGAGAATAACCGATCTCACTCGCGTTCAGAAACGAATAAACATCGGAAACGCTTCGATCACGGGGGGAAAAAAAAGCACTTTCCTAAGGAAACTGCGTTTTCACCGTGATGGAAGGCGAAACCAACCTCACGGATACTATCCGTCATTGTTTTCCCCGCGATTCCGTGAATCGTCTCTCGGAGAGCTACCGGGGGACTGGTCGACCCTGTTGGAAGGAGAACCTTCGCAAACGAGTCGTATTCTAAGTAGGCCGCCGCAGCGGATGTACACTGTCGAGTCGAGATTGAGTCGTTGGCTGCTGTTTCTGCTACTGGCATAGCTACTAGTTATCGCAAATAGTAGAAATCTTCGGATCGTTTTGAGAAATATATTCTTAAAATATCTAAAAATTTTATAATAAATTAAATTGCGCCGGTTATTCTTGGTTCAACGAAACGTGATCCTTTTGTAATTATAATTTTCATATTTGTACAAATTTGAATATAAATTTCTGTTAGGTAATATTTGTTCAAATTCGATCGCTACAGCAAGACGACTCGCTTGTTTTGCAGCACGCATATCGTAAGCGCGCGGTATCGTCTCCGATGGCATTGCTCGTTTCCTCGGAACTTTTTTCCCCTCCCTTCTGCTTGCCAGTTGCACACGTCGCTCTTCGACTTCGCTGTTAACAACGTAACGCATCGATTATCTGTTAAATGACGTCGAAACCACTGGTGCACCCCCTACTACGGTTCCAGCTTTCCGTGACTCCTTCCATTTACGCTTTTTCTTTCATTCTCGCGAAATCAAACGTCATGTGCAGACCACGTGGATACGACGAGACGATGAACACGTCGCTGGTGACATCTCGCGGTATTTCGCGCAACTAGCCGCGCCGCAAGCGGTTCTCATTCAAGACCGCGATTTTTACCTTTCAAATTTTCTCCGATATCCCTTCCTTCCTCTTTGCCCCTTCGGAGGCTCGCTCGAGCGAGCAAGGCTGGGGGGAGGAGCGATTATTTACTTACTTTCACTCGCACGGTCGCCGAATCGAACTCGCGCGGACGGTAAATCATTGATACCCACGTGCGCCACCATTTGTTTGGGCTTGCATCTAATGGATTCGTTACGTTTTAGCTGGCTTTCGTGTTATTGTTTATCGATAGACGGGGAAAGATCCCATTAGATGTTATTTGTTTACAAACGTAGATTCGTCGAGGCTAATCCTGTGGTTGTGTAAGATAGTCAATTTTGGGTACAATTTGACATACGCGTATCATTTGGTACCAATAATTTCGAAATCCAAGTCATTTGAATTTGTCCAAGCTCGTCACGCGTAGTTTATAATAAGTATAACTGGGTGGAGAAAAAAAAGAAGACAGACGGAAGGAAAATGAAGAGAAGCGTTTCACAAGGGGCCCGCATGCTTGCTGATTGAGCCCATGAGTAACAACACTCCTCTGTCCCCCTTCTCTGCCCCATGCCCACTCGATCATCCATTCCAACGATGACTTCTTTCAGGCAGGGGTAGGGAGACGCCTGACGTCATTCTCCAACGTCTGTCAGCGAGCCGACCCTCTGAGTCATATCGTTTTGCCTACTCTCTTGCTCGTAACAGAGTATCGAGACTTTGCAAGATCTTTCGTGGTCATGTCGCTAAAACGCCCTCCAGAAGAATTCCTTAGCTTCTTTCCCGCGTTATTAAGCAATTCATACATTGTTGAGTAAAATGAAACTCTTTGTCACATCGAGGAAACGTGGCTCCAGAATATTTTGGCCCTCTTGCTATCTAACACAACTATGCTTTCTTCCACGAGACGGTCAAGTTACAGTTATTAATTTCATACGCCACCAAAGAATTTGGGCAAAAGACTCATGGCATGTTTCATTTGTTTTCAGAGTTGTGCAATGATGGGTCTGCAGGCCACGGCAGGAAAACGTAAACTGGAGGGAGGTGTGGGCTGCATGGAGTTCGACATGGATATGGGCGAGAGCCCATCGAAGTTAGGTCGGGTGGAGGGTAGCTGGTGGGCGATGGAGGATAGTTACACGCCCCCGCTGAGCCAAACGGCGTCATACTACAATATGGAAGTGAGTTCGCCCTGCCTGCAGACAAATCCTTGTCAGCCGACATCGGCAAGCTCTCAGCAACAGCAGCAGCAGCAGCAGCAACAACAACAGCAGCAGCAGCAGCAACAGCAACAACAGCAGCAGCAGCAGCAACAACAACAGCAGCAGCAGCAGCAGCAACAGCAGCAGCAGCAGCAACATCAAACGTCGCAGCAGCAGCAGCAACAGCAGCAACAATCGTCGACACCGACGTCTGCGCCAACGCCATCTACGGTGGCGCATTTGCATCATCATCCTCAGCATTATTACCATCATCAACGCGGACCGAGTAGCCCGGTCGGTAACAACGGCTACAGTCAACTCTCGAGGCCTCAGCCGCAATGGGGAGCGCCTCATCATTACGAGCCGCCGACGATACGGCGGGAAGAAAACGGGAAGAGTTATCTGGAGCTTGGCTCGAGTTACCGAGCGAACGAGAGGTGCTGCGAGGGCTCGAGGTCGAGTTGGTGTCGACGCGGCAGAGCCTGTTACAGACAAAGGCGACTAGCCGTCCTGAATATCTCTATGTGCAAGCTGGCGAGGTATCGCCAGTTCCCAGATCCAAGCCTTCATCGATCGGTCCTCATCTGCAATACGTTGAGGCATCTGGAACGCGAGATGGAGAGGGACAGAAGTCCGCCGCCCATGGAGCCGGTTATACCAGCGCCGATTGTTCAACTTCAACCCCCGGAGCAGGGTAGGCTGACGCCGTTCCCGATGCCGCCGACATCTTCGAACGAGACCGACGTCGATTCCGGGATCGGCGACAGCGACGATAGCCGTTCGATAAACTGGGGCAGCGTGCTGTCTCTGTCGAGTCAGTCGCCCCTGGACCCGCTGAACAACAACGAGTTACTGGACGTCGATATAGGTCCGGACCTAGACCTAGACTTTATGCCTGGATGGAAGCTGACGCCTCTGTCCGCGGACGATATCCTGAGGAGTACGACGGCGCAGGAGCAGCACCAGCATCATCAACAGCAACACCATCAGCATCAACAACAGCAACAACATTTAGCGCCGACTAGCGGTAGCTGTGGTAGCAGCAACGTGGGCAGCGCCTGCGTCAGTACCGGAAACAGCAGTAGTACGCACGAGTCGTTAATGTGCGTTGGATCATAGCCCCCAATTTTGACATCGTTGAGTCACCTCATCGATTTTTACCCGCTGATGCCGCAGAGCAAATAAAGCGCGGCTCGAACTGCAAGTCGAACGTGGTCGTCCTCTCTCGAATGTGCGACGCCTGGTGGGCGACTCTCCAGGAGGTCTTCTTTTTCTTATTTATTACCGTTCGTGTCAGTTACGCACCGATCGATTATCTTGGTTACGTTCTACTACCACCGCCAACCGATACTACCATGGCTCCCCGTGGGAGATGGGTACACGTCGTGACACGCTGCGCTCGCAGGTGCAGACGGTAACGGGGATACACGGCGCATACTTTGGAAAATTTAGAATACGAGACAAAAGAGGTGATTACAATTTCTAAATCGTCGAATGTACCTCCCCCCGAACTCGCGTTGTTACAGAAAATCTTTAAAACGAGTTTACCTTAACGGATGAACACGTTTCACGTAGTTTCACGGAACGTAGATTACCATTGTCTATTGCACGAGACCAAACATACTTTTAGAACAATTTATTTTTATACATGTATTTTTTTTCTTGTACAGGTTAAAAAGATTCGATAAAATTATGTTTTAGTTGAAACTCTGCGACGCGAGATCGGGTTCTACCTTCGGCTCCTCAACGGACACACCTCGAACGACTAGGTATACTATATCGCAAACGATCTGTTTTTGCAGTTGCACCTGCGAATTCGGCGGCGCACGTATGAGTTCCCCGGCTAGCTCTAAATGTCGCCACCGGCACGTCCGACAGAGAGAGCGAGAGTGTGTGTGAGAGAGAGCGAAAAGTCTCAGAGCTTTCAACGTCCACGCCCCCGGGCCGGCGATGCGGTAGACGAGTGCAGGATAGCCTTCTACTCTTCGAGTCTTTAAAGGAGCCACGGCCAACCGGGCCCCCGCGGGCAAGGGTACACGCCACTTGCCTCTGGGTATTTGCACGTCACAACAGAAAACAACGGGTGGAGGGTGGGGGGAGGATCAATTGCAGTAGTGGGGGATGTAGCGCTGTACGCTTAACACTTTTGCAGCTACAGCACGCGCGGTGTTGCACCCCGCCATCCGTAATTTCTAGCTGTGACGTCAAATCCCCGCTGGAGGACGTCGTTTGCTCTTCTAGCCCGCGAGGGTTCCAGTTGACCCGTGGCTGTCTTTGAACCAACCGATGACTACTCGATGAAAACGGTTCACAGACCTACGTGTTCTCGACGGAAACTCATCGTCCCTGTTTCTATACGTTTCGTTTGTAATTTCCACGTGGTATCGCTCGCCTAGCTGGCCGGCGTTGAGAATTCTTCGGCGATGTCTCGGCGTCGCTCGCGACAGCCAATCAAAAAAATCTGGTGTGTCCATCGGTCAGTGTTTTCCCATCGGATTTGGAAAACGTTAAGAACCAAGCGATGAATTAATTAATGCCATACACTCTTGATACACCAATGGTACACTTACACGCATAAGACATAACCGCCGTGGCCTATACTACACACGCATCGTACACGCACGCATACATCGTACATACACACACGTACAGAGACACGTTTCGTACATAGAAAAGTCGATATGGTGCTAGGATGATCACGTCCTGGTGCTTACTTCTGTATACAACAGAGCCATGTGCGTACATTCGCACGGATCGCCTGCAGTCTTCGTCGAGGAGTCTAGATACGTCCTGACGTCGTAAACAGGACACTGGTGCAATCGAACGCGCTTCCATCGAGACGTTCGACGATTGGAGCTCGGACTAACCTAAATAGTCCCTGAATTAAGTGGTGTTAGACGAGCCCGTTTTTTGGCGCGAGTCTCCCAGGTACTATGGAGTTATCAAACGTCGAACAATCTATAAGAATGATGTATCCGTTCAACACGTTTACCGTTCAATACGTACATCTACGTAGTTTTTATCAAGATTTTTAAGAACAAATAACAATCATCAGATTTCAGGTGAATTCGATGGGGCAAGTCCAAGGGAAACCATTTTTTGGGTAAAATTTTGGACAGTGATAATAGAGATAAAGATCGATTATTCCAGAATAAATTTATTTTTAAATAAAGCGTGATCCAACGTGATCCATTTTTACGTAAACTTAAAATTATTTGTTCTTCAAAGTTGGTTATAAAAATGAAAAGGGGCATAAAATTCAAGATTTTTGTGGCAAACTAAATGCAATAACCTTAAAAAAAAGAAAGAAATTATACAGGAAACGTGTTTAACAGAACATCGAAGAAGAAAAGTTTGATTTGTCAGAAATTCTAGAGAATTTAAACGATAAGTTTGTTCGAATCGTTGAGAACTCGGCTCGTCTAACAACGCTACCCTGAATTCGTGAACATTTACCCGAGGCTGTATTCAGAGTGGGGGGGACACGTGATCACGGATGGAAGCTCGTTCGAGTTCGAGGTCACTCTGTGTTCTGGCGAACGACGCTAACAAATGTACCTGCATTTTAGAGATCGGGATTAATATCGGTCCCTTCGGATCGTCGCACGAAGGCCACTGTGCGCCACTGATCTCCCGTAATGTACCATATACGTGTAAAATAGAGTGGCCGACGGGCATAGAGCGAAGGTGACCGTCACTCGGGGTGGAACGAAGAGATTATTAAACTCGACGGAGAGACGCACTTCGCGAAGAGGAACGGCGATCCGCGCGCGATCTCGTCCTCAACGTCCACTAACCGAACCCAGGAGAGCAGCTATACTTAAATCGAAGTTAAGCGTTTAAGCGAGTCTAACGCGATAATGCGATATAATAATTTATAAATCGACTGATTACTTACGCGAGAGAACAAAGAAAAAAAAAAGAAAAACAGAGATAGTTACAATAACGTTTTTTGCGACACATTATTGATTTAAACTGTAATTAATTCGATGTTAAGTCAGCATGTGAACACACGTACAAACATTCAGGAACACACACACGTCACGCTACACACGCAATACGGACACGTAGAACCCGATTGTATGTACATGGGGACATGCTAGATACTTCGATGTATGTATATAGGTACATACGTACGTGCATACGTGCTAAATCGAATAATCGTTACGTGAACCGTGAACTCTGGCCGATTTCCATATTTCGTGCGTTTCCTTTGTTGGATCGCGAATTCAAAATTCTTCGGTTTCGTTCGAGCATCGTGCGTTTGTTCTTTGCGTTGTTAACCCTAAGGTGACGTTACGTACGATGCCAGCGATGTTTGAAAAAAAAAAAAAAATTGCCATTATCGATAATATAAATTAAATAGAAATTGAACGATCATAAAAATGGATGAAACTTCAACGATGTTTTTTGCTAAACAGTTGGTGTCGCTGGTGACGCAACCTTACCTCTCTGGGGTTAATTCGATTACGTCGTTTCCCGAGTACTTTATTTAAAAAACAATCTCTTATCGATTCGTTCCTCCCGTATTTAATATAAAACAACGAGCAATATTATGTTTAACATTGGGGGAGAATCTGGGGGAAAGGATTGCGTGTACATCAAAGCTGAAATTGAAAAGACCTGTAACACGCGGGGTGAAGAGAAGCTTCTCTGTTATTCAATACTCTTTTCGAGTGCTTGGTAACAGTTGTACAATGTATATATATATCTTTAGAATTACTTTCGCATTCCAATATGTAACTTCAAAGAAACTATCACGCGGTTATCGAGACGTTATCGAAGATTGGTTTTTAGACTCTGTTGTAGTGTGTTCGGTAATTCGCCGCGTTTTGTCCTTCACGTGTATCTACATTATGCAAATAGTGACCAAGCATCTAGTCAAGGGGTATGCGATATAGAGAAAATGTTCTCGCTGCGCTTCTTACGCGTTCGAGTCCGTTTCATTGAACGTACTTTAATTATGGCCGCCTGAGTGTTAACATAAAAACATAACAGACAACACAAGACATACACACATACACACAAGTACACGTGCACGAACGAACGTTGTGTGAAATTATATATGCGCGTTTGATGCGAATGTCCGGAGCATTTCAGTGACAAACACACGTTGTTTTCTTGCATGGTACGCCGACGAGAGGGACACGAACGTCCAGGCATTTGGCACATACGAGTCTCTCTAACGTACGCTAGATTGTTAAAAAATTTCGTCCATCGCGTTACAGCGCCTCGCGCGTGTCATTTTGTGCTCCGCGACCGCAGCGCCATCTCGTCGGATCGGCTTGGTGTTCTGCGCCTAGCAACAACGAAGACGCCAAGCACCTGGTTACTTCCAGTGCACGTTGACTCTTTCGATTTTTAATTAGCCGTCGACTTAACTGATACCGTATCGATACGCCCGATACCAGATAACAAAGTAACACTTTGTATCAACGTTTTGATACTCCCGTGAAATTACATTAGCGACGATATTGTTCCAAAATAAGAAACAAGGAAAATTGGAAAACAGATACAAGCTTTCGTAATTGCTCGAAGTTCCATCCGTTTCCTACTTTTCATATATTAACGATCTATCGTACGGTATCGGTGTATCGATCGCTATATTCATTCCACGAGCATCGGTATCGAAAGCTTTGATACCAAGTACCTAAAATTTCGATACCTTTTGATACTCCTTCTTACGCGTGTACTTTGGCATCGAATTGTTTCATTGATTTACTGATCGTTGGAAAAAAGAAAATACGTCGATCGGCCAGTGCACTGTATCAACCGGCGTATATCGAAGGCATACTGATTCCGAGGTAGCAAAAGAGACGGGCGTATGTACGAGCGAACGTGAAAACAAAATACTCATGCCACTCGATCGGTATTTCGCTCGAATCGAGCTGGCTATCAAGCGGAATACCAAGCACGGTGTCGGAACAGGGCGTGGTGGTGTGTTCTCGCCTTTCGTAGAAAGAAAAGACACTCGAGGGGTCGGTGGGAGGGGGGTGGGGGAATAATTTCGTACTTTTTACACGGATGTACCTTTGGCGCGTTAAATCGCGCCCGTACGTACGGTACCGGTGGAGTACCTGCAAATTTGGCCGACAGAGTGGCGGGACACGGTGAAAAGGGCCGGGGGGGGGGGTGTCGTACAGAGCCGGGGAATAGCGTGTAACCGTGCAAGAGAACGACGAACGTACGCAACGCGCGCGCTTCGACGTTACACCGGCGCGCGTATTAACGTTTAAAATGGAAAAAAAATAGAGAGAGAAGTGGGGTGCGTGCGACGAACACTACGGGGACTACGATTTAAACGAAAAGAAAAAAAAATAACGGGAACGTTGTAAATAGTATAAATAGCGCACGCGCAGAACGTACGTTTAAGCGGAAAATAAAAGATGATATAATAGGTATAATGTGAAGAAAATATACATATAAGATATTATTATATATTATATATATATATATATATATTATAAACACAAGAATTATATATATAAGATTATTATATATATATTTACCGTGATAAGTGATACAAAGCGGTGACGGGGACTCGCGCAATCTCGTTGCCATTTCGGACGATGGCGCCAGCGGCCCACGGGGCCATTTTCCACCCCCCTCCCTCCCCACTCAAATTCAGTTCGATGCGCAACCGACAAATGGACCGTCGCGATCGAGTAACGATTGACCGCTCTGTTCTTGTCATCCGATCATCCACACAGCTCTTCCAGAAACGTTTTTACGCGTCGAATAGAAATAAATACGGATCATCTCGGGGGGGCGCGTTCAGCGACGCGCCCTCGTGGCTTCTTTTCAAATTTCCCGCCCCCTTTTTATGCTGGAGCGGTCAGTTGTTTCTCGAGACGGTTATCGGGATCGTAACGATAGGTGGCAAAGCACCGTTTCGCCGAAGTTGCGTCCTTAACTCCTTACGGGACAGAAGTTTTTTTTAATAAATGTTCTCTGATGAGTGTTTGTACATAGTAGGCTAGAAAACGTTGAGCTCTTTTAGTCTGCTCGTTCGTTGCTCGCGCGCGAACGAAACGGAATGTGTAAACGTATCGTCATCGAGTTTGTTTCGTTCTTTTC